TACCGGTTGCTCCTAGTTTTGCCTTGTGGAATAATATGGCATAAGCATAATCTGTCCCTTCCCAATGGGAAATTGAAATGCGCTGGTGGTGATTGGGGCAAACATTTGAACTGAAACATAATCTATACTTGGGGAAAGATGGCAAGGCCACAATCCAAGGAAAAGCATGTCAAAGGTCAAGAAAAAAGATCTCTTAGGAGTAACAGTATCCAAGAAAATGGAATGGAAGTGAAAAGCCTTGGGGGAAGTTTTACAAAAGATCTAAAGGTGAGCTATCAGAGGTGTTGACAAATGGACTATTTCTCAAACAAAATACATGTCTCCAAAGCTCCATGTTCTGTGTTGTTGTTGTTTTGCTTTTTATAATAATGGCTGCTTATGGTCTTCCCAACTGCTTCCAAGGGTGGGGAACCTGCAGCCTCAAGGCCTCATGTGCCCCTCTAGGTCCTTAGCTGTAGCCTTTTAATTGAGACCAAGTTTTACACAACAAATAATTTTACTAAGGGGATTTGTTCTATGAGGTTTGGATTCAGTCAAAGGGCTGCACTTGAGGACCTAGAGGGCTACATGTGGCCTCAAGGCTGCAGGTTCCTCATCCCTGGTTTAGCCCTCAACCAAATTTGCTATGGCCCCTCTAAACTAATTCATGCTGGTAAGGCCATAGTAGCAGACATAAGACATCTTCTTCCTAATAAACCTTCAAATATTTGAAAATAATTCCTATGACCTTTCTTTCTTCTTTCCTGGCTAAACATCTCCAGGACTTCACTATCCTGGTTATCCTCCTTTGGCCATATTCCAGTTAAGTAATATCCCTTTTCAAATGTTGCATTCTGAATTAAACACAATTTTCTACGTGGAGTCTCACCAGGCCATAGTAAAGTAGGACAACCACTTTCTGTGTTGTTGTTTTCCACTAATGTAATCCAAGACTACATTTGTTCACCATTGCCAAAACCAAATTTGTTTTTCTATCACCCAAAATCCAGTGGGCATGTTCAGATAGAATATCCTTTTACTGTTGGGGGGAGCCTCTATTTTCTTGCTACCTCCCTAATGAGGCTATGTATACTTCCCTATCACCTCACAGACTCTGACATAAGTAAAATACACCTGCTTATTATTCCTTCAGCTTTTTGCTTCTTAAACATGATTCTACTTAATACAAATTACCTATCTAATATTAATTTAATTATGAAAATAGCCTCTTTCAGAAATACTATAGGATAAATATAATTCCAGTTGCTGTTTAACTATTTCTCAGGTTGCACAGTATGTGCCTGAGACTGCTAAAATAGCCCAGAAGGGAGCTTTTGCATATTTCATGATGTATTAAGTTTTGTTAAAAGAAGAAGAAGAAGAAGAAGGAAAAAAAAAAACAAAGTTCACTTCCTGGAGACAAAGCAGCACAATTACCTCTTGAGGATCACAGGGGTCACACTTACCATAAGCCTCATAAAACATGAAGTTGACAATGGTTTGAATTTTCAGAGAAAAACAAAGAGGGAGCCATTATAAATTTTAATGATATCATATAATAATGGCAAGCAAAGATGTGGGCATCTGTACTCATTTCTAAAACCAATGACTATACTTCATAGCTTTTATTTTTAAACAAGCAAACTAAATTTCATCTTATCTATGAAGGAAAAAGAAATGTACATCCTTCATTATTCAGTTAGGCAACTTCTGTCAGACAATAAAGAAAGAATAGCTTCACGTAACAATTAGAACTTTTTCCAACTGAATAATCAAAATCAAAGAGAATTTTATAGCTTTCTAATAGCAAACAGAGTTATATTTTGTACAGGTCAAGTACAGAAATAAACATATCATAGTTGCTATCAGATAGATAATTAAAGAAAAGCTTAATGAATGCCCTCTTAGACATATCATTTGTGAAATAATTTCTATGATAAAAGATAACCCTTGTCCACCCCCCAAAAAAGTGCTTAAATGTCTGTAGGCTAAAGCATTAGCCAACTGAGTTATGTGTATACCTGCATGTAATATGAAATATATAAAAATAGAAACATGAATGGTAAGTAAGTTTCATGGCAGGTATTTATCAGTATAAAACTTTTTACCTTTTTATATTTATATGTACTCAGTAAATATAGGGTGATACACATATACACATGTATATATAGATATACATTCATATACATATGATTGATATGATTGGGAATGATTTATTTTTGCATATTTTTTAATCATAGGCATTTTGGTTTTGACAATCAATCTACACACACACACACACACACACACACACACACACACACACACCCCTATTATAAATGCCTATGAAAAGTGTTAATTGTCCTTCAAGCTCAGAGAGAACCAAAATGACATCCCTATGTCACAGTTAAGGTAAAGTGAGTCCGAATATGCCTAATCAGACCATTGTGAACTTGGAAGGCTCTAACACAGGTCAGGCACAAATAGTCCATATGAACATTTAGAGTGGAGATAGACTGCCATCATGGCATGCCTACTTCAAAGAAGGTACTGTGCTTTATGAGCAGAGCAGAAATGTAGTAGTTCAAAAGAAATGTGAGATGTGCAGATTTAGAAACACCTCCACTCCAAATGCCTATGAAAAGTAAAGGTACAATCACGTACCTTATGAACTGTGCAAGGTACTAAGGTAAATGGAGATCACCATTGGCAAACTTGATGGCTAACCAGGCTATATGTTTTAAATTACAAAGCTATAGCAGTATACCATTACAAAAATATGAAAACTGTATCTAGTAACAAAATCTTTGTGTAATTTAGACCTCTTGGAGCTACTTCATTTCTTTCACCAATGTCCCAAAATAAATGAAGATGGGGAATTAAACCATGGCATAGTACAGAAATAGAAATGTGACCCACACTTTTCCACTCTCGTTGTCCCACTTCATTTCAGCAGGCTGTCCACAGTGGTTTCCTGCCCGCTTATTAAAAATTGAAAGGTAACAGCTATAAAATGTTAGAAACCTAATAGGCAGCCCATTTACAGCAAATGTGGATTGTTTTTTATGTTCGTCTGGAGTTCTGAAAACCATATATAACTAACTTTTCTTTCTTCTGATGGATGGTTGCTTGTACCATACCTGTCCATTTCAACAGTAATTGAGAACCGGGCTCTGAAGTAAAACTCCACTCTTGCCACCATGACAAGTTATGACTTTATGAGAAAACCATTAGCAGTGTAACATCCATGTGAGGCCCTGCTTCTCTCATGAAACAAAGCAATTATACCCACAAATTCATAAAAAGTTTTTAAGCTTATAAATAAATCCAGGAAAGAAGAAAATGTTTTTCTTCCTGTAAAGAGCTGATGATTTGAACCATAGTTATGTCTATAAATATATAGCATTTTGAAAAATATTTTTAAGAATCTTATTCTTACCATATTGCCACTGAGGATACTCTGTATCCTTCTGAGCAGTTGTCTTCTGTCTACATGACAGAAACAATGATATGACAATTAGGGTAAATAACTACAGACACAAAAGTCTAACAGATTGTTCACCTTTGTCCTTTTTTACAAATAAAACATCAATAAAATTATTTTCGAAACTATTAGAGGGGAGAATGGTTCCAGAGATAAACTTATTTGATTTGAAAGGTCCAGGAAAAGATGCATAAGTAAGATAAATAAATTCCACAAGCTAAATTAAGAACACTGAACATGATATGATGATCAACCTCTTCTTCCTTCTCATTCTTCTATAGCAGTGGCCAAATTGCTCACTTTGGGATGTAGATTTATCCTCTTGGCACACTGGTAAACTTTACTAAATTACTGCTTGGGTACACAAAATGATGCTTAAGTGACCAGCAACTGCTACCTTCAAACCCTTTGCTTCCTACATTCTTTGTATCCATTATTAAATCTAGTAGGAAAACATATTTCTTAGCAAAAATGTTTTTAGGCTTTTTGTTTGTTTTTCTGCATTGCTGTTTGGCTTGCATTACTTGAATCATTTACCTTTCACTAATAAATCTAGAAAGGCTCTCCTAGAGAAACAAGAAGGTGTATGGAATCTTATCTTGCACTTTACCTGGAGAACTAATGATGTGGACAAGCACTTCCTCTTAGAATCTAATGAGTACCATATCAAATATGCCGGATGGAACTCAGCACTTTTTACAAGTATCTGATCAGCCAGGGACAGAGAACTGCTCTCTTCCTGTAGATACATTAACTTCCATACAATTGTATTCAGTGCACTCAGTTTGGTCCCCTGTGAATTCAAACTTTAAAAAAAAAATGCACATGACAACAGCTTATAAAAAGAAACTGCTATATGTGAAAATGACTGGAAAAAAAAAGATGCATTTGGTAAAGTCTGACTGTATAACTGTTCAATCATCTGTAATAGTGTTAAGTGATTAACATGTGCAGCCCAAATACCCCAAAACTGCTTCACTTAATATACATACTCATTATGTCACCATTTTCCATTTTGGTGCAAGCAAACAAAAGTAGAAGATTGGTAGAATAATTGGAGAAAGAATTCATAGAATTTGAATTCAGATACTTGAACATTCCACATATTTGTCCTGTTCTTCACTTCACTATACTGGGGCTGACCAGGGAATAAAATGACATCTATTTCATCCTATGACTACATTATGGACTCTAATAGAATTGTTTTATTATTTGCAAAGGATTAACTACTCTGATTTCAAATTTTTTTATCACTTTATTATTGGCTACCATGTCTCTTTTTAAGATGTTATGTATATTTCCTATTATTCCCGTATCTCATTGCCACTGATTGCCAAAGCAACAAAACCATTTCATAAAATTAATCACTGAGAAATGAGTCAAAGAGAAATGAATACACATCCAGAATATCCACAAACAGATCCAACTGGCCATCGCAACACATTTCTCTGCCTTTTTATGCACCACAACAATTTCCTTTCAGCTCAAGGAAGGCCACATCTTTCATTTCACTTCACAAACTGACTCTTCAAAGAAGGCATTAAAATCAATGACTTACAGTTTGTGATTTTCAGGACCCGTTTTACTTCTCCACTTCCTGAACCCCCACAACCGTCTTCATCATCACAGTCTCCACTGACTTGTTCATCTATATGTCCACCACTGCCCACTTGGAGTAGATCCCATCTCTCAGGTTTTGGAGTAGATCTGCCCTGGAGCAACTAGGCACAAATAATAAAAAAAAATATTAATGACAAAGGGAAAGTCTTATAAGGTTTATTTTTTATAACTAAAAATTAGTCACATGTATCCAGTTGTTTCATCTAAAAAAATCATAAAACAAGACTTTTTCAATGATTATGATAAAAATTAATTATATATATGTATATATGTGTATATATATGTGTGTGTATATACATTATATATATACATATATACATTATATATATATAAAGAATGTATGGTTTATCAGTGTGAGTATTCCTTTCATTGAAGCAGATTACAACTACCTATAACTTAAAATAAGGCTTATAAGTTTTCTCGAGGTGTATAACACTTGCCCAAGGTCGGAAAGCTAGCAGGTGTTCTGAGGCAGAATTTGAACCCAAATTTTACTGACTACAAGTCAAGTACTCTGTCTACTTTACCATGCTATAATAATCATCATCTTCAATCATCATTATTTCTTATGTACGATTGTCTTGTTAAAAATAGTTATACTCTGGCATTGAATAAGAACTTTCAAAAGCAAACTAAAAGTATTACAAACCAGATATATGCTAGCTTTCACTGGTGTAGTGCACTGGCTATAAAATCCACTCTTTCTGAAAATATTGTTTTTGACAGTAAAGCAATTTTAACACAGTGAGAAAAGAAGTGACCAAAAGTGTCTCTGCATCTGGGAATTCCTTTAGGAATTAAGATAGAAGGAAATAAAGTCAAATTGTCCAAATGTGAATCTCTGGCATGTTATGGTTGCATATTTGAATCTTACTTTTTTCCCTAGCAGGGCAGAAAATGTGCCAAAACCAAACCCATTTTTGAGACAGCGACCAGAGGAACAAAAATACCTGTGATTTATAATTCAAAATATCAAAAAATTCAATTAATTATTCTGATCAAAAATGGGTCTCAGAAATAAACTTTTTCAAGTATATGTTTTGAGGCTAGGCAGAAGGGTTAGTAACTCAAAAATGGACAAATATATTCCTTTTTCTAAGGGATTTTTTTTTTTACTAAAGGCACTAAAGACACATAGAAGTATATATTAAAGGTACATAATTATTCTCAGGACAGCTAGTTAGTGCACTAGATAGAGTATTGGGCTTAGAATTAGGAAGACCCATCTTCTCAAGTACATATCTGGCCTCAAACACTTACTAGATGTGTGACCCTGAGCAAGCCACTTAACCCTGTTTGCCTCAGTTTTCTTATCTGTAAAATGAGATGGAGAAGGAAATAGCAAACCACTGTTGTGCCTTTGCCAAGAAAACTCCAAATAGAGTCATGAAGAGTAAGACAATAACAAATTATCCTCTTCTAAAGATTGTTGGGAGGATGTCAAATTACCAGGAGCCTAGCTTGCAATAGTATTAAGTGAGACATCCTCTGACTCCGGAGTTTCAAAACTCCCCACAAAAACCTACTTATTAACTGTAAATTCCATGAAGGCAAAGGCGATGCCTTAACTAACTTTACCTCTCTTCCAGGAGCATAAACAATTCTCTCCATGTAATAGACATTTGAAAACAGATTTAGGGAAGGGGGAGGAAAGGATAAAAATAACAATGCAGATCTTTGAGATAACTACAGCCCAGCTCCAATTATTTAATAATTTTTGAAATAGTCCCTATTTTATAAACAAATAAACAAAATTGTGTACTTTGGAATGACTCAAGTATTAATGATCATTACCTTGTGTTGCCAAGTTTGATATTAGTTCCACCTCAAAGTCACAACGCACTGAATCTTTGTAAGAGAAAGCACTGGCCACAGGATAATTTTTCCCTACTCCACACCCTTCTGGAGACTAGCATCAGTACTTTACATATTGTACTAACATGTACAAAATATTTTTGTATAATATTTTTAATTCAATAAATGTGTGCAAGGCACTATCCCAGGCCCTAAGGAAGTTACAGGCTCTATCCATAAGAGAATTATGGTCCACTGAATATAATATAGAGCAAAATGAAAAAAAAATATATAGACAAATTACAAACTATTTTGAAAAGTCTAAGAAGTCACTTGTGGGTTAGGAGTGGGGAAAGTTCCTGAAAAGAGGTAGCATTTGAGCTGGATTACAAAGATTGCATATTTTTATTGGCAAATATTTCCTTACAGGCTCATTTTAATTCTGGGTATTCTTATGCACAACAGAAAATGTCATTTTACTGTTTCATCCAATTTTTTACCTTTTCATTTTATTTGATTGTTCAATTCATTCATTTTAAAAGTTATAAGATTTAGGTTGTTATTTTCCTTCATTTGTCTCCATTTATTTTACCTAATTGGGATTTTTGCCTGCTTTCTCTACAAAACCAATACTTTGTATCTTCAGTTATTTTCTTTAAGGCAACTCTAGTCTCATCTGCTCTTCACACTTCTTAGTTCTCTCCTATTTTACTCCTTTTACTTTTTCTGCAGTTTGTCTTAACGTATTACTTTCAATTTCTTCCTTATATCTAGTTATCTATTCATTCCTTCCTACTTTTTTCCTCTCTCCATCTTGGAGTCTACAGAATAGAGTTGCTCCCTCCCTCCCCTCACCCTAGAAGGAAATGTGTTCCTTATTCAGAAATGTCTCTTTCAGAAGTTCAATATAATTTTCTTATATTACTTCTTATAATAAGATGTTGAAGGTTTGTTGTTGTTGTTTGACTTGTATCCTTTTGTAAGACCTATAATTCTTGAGTTATCACTTATTTTATCTTTCAGACTGAAGTTTGTTTTCTTTTATATAGAAGGCACTTGAACTTTTCACTTCTTCTATGATTTCCTTTGCTTCTATGAATTTTCATGTCTAATCAATTATTCTCTCTTTTGTTTCTTTGGTAAGGTTTGCCACCATGAATTTGAGTTTTTCTATTCTGCTGTGTGGATGATAAACATTGCTTTCACAATTCTTGTTTCTCTTAAACCATTAAGGAATACCCTGCTATGGTATCATGCTGTCTTGTGAATCCACATGATTTTTTGCCACTTCAGGTGTTGATTCATTATCCTTAGGGTATTTGTAGATATCTGGTCTCTTTTACCAGATGTAGAGACTATATATCTCTTCTTACTAATGTATTAAATCAATTATCAATTAATGTATTAATTAATGTATTAAAGTCCTTTCTTCCCTACTTGTGCTTAATATCTTTAATATAATATTTCCCCCTGAGATCTTTGGTAATTTCTTTTTTTTTAATTCCCCTATGACTCACTTTCTAAGTTCTTGAAGTTAGTTTCCCAGGAGACTCCCACCAAGCTAGCCAGTTGAGATTTCACCAGCCTCAATCTCTGTTCCAAGAGACTTTTCTGTGGAGGGCATGACTGCCCCAGCTGGATGCTCATCCCCCTTTTTAAGTGTGGTGACACTACAAGAATATTAGTCTACACCAGTTCCCTCTATTCCTCAGTTCTCTGGCTAAGTGCTATTGCAGTACTCTGCTATACTACAAAGCCAGTCAGAGCAAGTTTTTGGGTTTTAGGGTTGGCAAAGAGTGGGGTAGAACATAGCTGAGTGTTGTTTCAAGCCTATGGTAGGCTTGTACAGCTTGCCAGAGCACGGTAGGCACAAGAGTCATGGGTATGAAATAAGTATTTTAGGGATTAAGATTAGTCCTACCTGTAGTTAATTCATAGGATTTTTACCTCATTAAAATTTTTGGTGTCTTCAGCAATAGCACTTCTAGAGCTATATCCCAAAGAGATCATACAAATGGGAAAAGGACCCACATGTACAAAAATATTCATAGAAGCTCTTTTTGTGGTGGCAATGAATTGGAAATTGAGAGGATGCCCATCAATCGGGAAATGGCTGAGCAAATTGTGGTATATGAATGTAATGGAATACTATTGTGCTATAAGAAATGATGAACAGGATGACTTCATAAAAACCTGGAAAAGACTTGTATGGTCTGATGCTGAGTGAAGTGAGCAGAGAACGTTGTACACAATAACAGCCACGCTGTGTGATGGCTAATATTGATAAACTTAACCCTTCCCAGCAATACAAGGATCTAAGACATCTCCAGAGGCCTCGTGATGGAAAATGCTATCCATATCCAAAGAAATAACTATGGATTTTGAATGCAGGTTGAAGCATACTATTTGCTATTTTTTTTTTCTCTTGTGTTGAGTTTTGTTTCCTCTTTCTGGTGGTTCCTCCTATTGGTTCTAATTCTTACTTACAACATCACTAATGTGAAAATATGTTTAATAGGAATGTATACGAATAGCCTATATCAGATTATGCACTGTCTTGGGGAGGGTGGTGAGGAGGAAGTGGAGAAAAAAATTAAACTCAAAAGCATATCGAAGTGATTGTTGATAAATCAAAATAAATTAATAAAATAAAAGATTTTTGGTGTCTTAAGATCATCAAGACAACTGAAATTGCTTTATCTCTTTTTTATAATTTCTATTTTGAAGAGGTTTGAGAGGTTAAGAGGAATGGATAAAGTGTCTCATCTCTTTCTTTGATCACATCCCTATCTACAGGAATATAGGGCAAGTGATTTCCAGTTATAAGAACAGAATGTGAAAATAAATACGTTGAAGTAGGAAATTAAGGGAAAGAGTAGAATATGGCCCATCACTGAAAGTGACTTATGGTTCCATAAATGTAATTATTTTTAAGTCTTCTAGTGAATCTTGCTATTTAAAAGACTAGTATAATTTTTTGAAGCAAATAATCACACATCCCCTCCCCCCACATTGATTTATTAAACCATCTGGATTTTTATGTATTGGTTTTGCTAAATGTGGCACACATCTGGTATTATCATTATTCTACCTGTTTTTAAACTGCTTGTTTCAGGCAAGACTATGTACCATTGTGAAAGTTAAAGCTAATAAAATACGGTGCTTTAGAGATTTAATGAACTGATGAAATGATCTACCTCAGAAACACACACATTTTCTCTACCAGGTCACTTATTCATCTTGGTTGAGGAAACAGTATAATTGATGTAGCAGAGTACTGAAGTGTTAAAAGACCCAGGTTCTACTT